CAAACGGGGCGCGCGCGCCCCGTTTGCGCAACGTAGGGAGAACCCTGAGACCCTCAGTTTTTCATGATCACACTCCTCGAAGTCATCAGCTTTGTTAGAGTACACAGTGATGACAAGCTTGCGTGCCTGGTCGATGAGTTCCAATGTGATGTCTTGCTGACCTTGCTCGCCAAAGTCTTCAAGTTTAGATATGTCTGTAGTCTTGCTACTGCTTATCCAGGTCTTCTTACCAGTGAAGAAAGGATAGCTTGTCGTGTCTCTTCCACTCAGGCTGAGGATAAATGGTAGTGCACGACACTGCGAAGGTCCCAGTGCCACAGCCATTTGGTGTATGGGTAGGTAGTTCTCCGTGGCAGTTCTCACCCACAGTTCAGGAAGATCTTTCAGAATAGTGGTGGCATAGTAGACACAGATGATGATAATATCCGTGTCATTGCCGTGGATGATCACTCTCTCAACATCTTCATTCTGAACGCTGTATATAGCATGACTTGTATCAGCCTCCTGCTGTGTAGACTCCAAGGCAGTGACGTCAGTTGCGGACCCTTCGGTGAGCAGCACACTCAGGGTTTCTTTCTTGAATCCTCTGCTTAGGTAAAGGCGAGTTGAACCGAGTGCTGGATCTAGCTGTTCACTCTCGGTCCACGTCTCACACAGGAAACTCAGCTTTGTTGGCTGATACTGAGAAGAATTCTGGGTCTGGGGCTCGGTACTGCTCACTGACTTCAAACACCTTAGCTGGTCTGGATCGGCCGTACCTGTGCTGCTGCTCTGCTGATTTGAGGCTTTGTTCACTGTATCGGTCACAGCAGAAATGTATGATCCCTGTGCCAGCAGGAACATCTTTCAGCAGCTAGTGCTTGTAGCGATCAGCAATGGCTCTGAATGTTTTATCTTTCTTGAATAACCAGTGGCGTATGGCATGCATTGCGTCAACCACCACTGCTGTCTTCAGGTTTCCTTGTGGCAGATCAGCAACACTGGTCACTTGAGTCTCCTCCTTCAGGGTCTTCACGAGACTAGCCGTTGTGCCTGCAGCCCTCATGCTTCCACCTTCATTGAATAAAGACGGGGGCATCTTACTACACTCATGGTTGCCAATAAAGTTGACGATGTCGACATCTCCACCACTGGCCATGATCTGTGTTATGCGAAGAAGGGCAGAGCTCTACTTCATCACTCTTGTGTGGTGCACTGTTCCTTGTCGACTTCTTTGGCTTTGAATTTTGCGTGTGGAAGGTTTTCAACCTCACGATGGACGTCTTCTTTTGATCCCTGGATACGGAACT